CTGTTCACAACTCGATTTCAATCCCGTCCATCCTTCCAAGGTCAATAAATTGACTGCCATCTTGCTGGGAAGGGGGCAATGTGTAGCCTGCATAATTGTAAGAGAGTGCTTTAAGTACCATGGGACAGTTTACGAGTAAGTAGCAGGATTTGCTTTGCTTTACCCTGGTTTAGAATATACAGTGCAGGCCAGCAACTCCAATTTTACTGAGGCAGTGAATCCACTCTGCGTTACAGGCAGAAACTTACATGAGCTATTGAAACTACTGAAACTATTTTAGGAAAAGGTTTGCTGCTGCCATAAAATACTAATCTCCAGGTGCTACTGAGGTGACAGTGAGCTGGACTGGACCAATGATTCAGTATCAGGCCCCTTGGATCAATATGGCTGGTGCTTATATAATCTATATGTATCTTGTTTGTGGATGTGCAAGATCTGGCCTTGATTTAGGATATAAATACAACACTTCATGCAGGAAATGGCTGTCATTAAGCAGTACGTCTCATTGCTCCTCCCACCCCCCAACTAATCACAAAAAAACTGCCATTGGTCTTTGTTTTCAAGCTTATAACAAGCCTTGTTGATTTAATCTGGCATTTTCCTTAGCCTTGGTTAATTCATTCGTTTCAGTCACTTCATTTTAAGGAAAGTGGAATTATTTTCATGGCACTAATACTAGCAAGATAAACTCTCCTGAGCTGGTTAACTTTGCAATTTCATGTAATGACATCTACAGCCTTTACATCTCACAAGATCATGCTCATTATATGGGCTTGTTTTTGTCTGACTCCTGAAACTAAAGTTTTTAAGACTGTCACAAGAACTTGTGCATCCCTTTTAAATCGTTTTTATGCCCCTTGAGACATATCAAAAGGGTGAGAATGGTCTGGATAACCCACCAAGAGCCAGCTTTAGTATCCTGATGGGAAAAGTGAGGCAAAAATATAGATCATTCTTGAGATTTAGCTCATTGGCTTAGATATTTGGCTACAGGTTGGGAGTTCAATTCCTCACTGTGCCCCTTGTCAGTAGAATCAATGTCTGTAGTCATGGGTAAGCTACATAGTCCCTATACGAAGCGAATGGTAAACCATTTCTGAGTATTCTTGACCTGGAAAACCTTAAAAAGGGTTCCCATAAATGAGAACTTACTCAACAGCCCATTATTATTATTTTTTTAATTCATCATCATATATATATGTGAACTCGCTTATCTGTGTTAGATAAACATAGTTGCCTTCCAACTATGGTTTGTTACATAGCTATGTTAAGATACTACACTCAACATTTTAATCATGGATGTTAATCACATTAATCATCAATATTTGTCCCTCCAGAGCCATCTGATGAAATGGACCACCATCCACAAAAATGTATTTGAGATAGCTCTGGTAAGGTGCCACTAGATTTTTTTTTTGTTGGCTTTACAGCAACAGTTCTAACATGGCTGTCCTTCTGCCCCTCAAAATGTTTGCCAGAGACACTATGCCTTTCTATCAGTCCCTAGGAAGCATGAGTAGGCTAGTACCGATGCTCTCATGTCCTCCATGTAGGCTTCTCAAGAGTTGGCTCCTGTAAAGAGAATGTTGAATTAGATATGTTTGGCCTAAATCCACATGGCTTTGATTTTCCGCTCAAGTAACAGAAGGACCTTTAAAGCAGTAAGCCCTCTGCTTTAGACCCTAGTTAACCCCCATCTTTAAAAAAAGACTGTATTGGGCATAATGGAACAAAGGTCTGACAAAAGAGGAGACAGATTCAGATATCCAAGTATTCTGTGTTCTTCAGATTTTCACCCCCATATTTGAAGGTGGTTCAGACCATAACTGACCAAGTATTAAACAACAGGAATAGGACTGGTCATCCTCAACTATTAAACCAGAAATAGCAGGATAAATACTGTGAGTGGTGGCTGTAATGGCAAACAGATATTTTGATCCAAGCCAGGATTTCAGAATCCTCTTGCCCAATTAAAGTCCATGCCATTCCAGGACTTATACTAGCTTGGTGGGGGTTCTACCAGGAAGAACAACCACTTGCCTGTGACTATCAATTGGCCAAGAATTACAGGAGTAAACCCTAGAAATATCAAGATTAGTCTGAGCTCAAAGTCCTAGTTCCAAAAGTCCTAGGTCTCTGAACACAACAGTGACAACTAGGCAGCTGTAAGAGGGCTTGGACCTCTTTATTTGCCTTTCCTAAGCAGGAATAGTCTCTCCTACTCCATCCCCATTCTCATCAAAATACACAGATCAAGGTCATTCATTTCCAGCACAGAGCTTTCAGGAACTGGATGATAAATCAACTCGAGCAAATTATTCAGCATTAAATTATCCTGCTTCCTAGCGGCTGCAAGGAGGGACGCCAGTCGGAGTGATGTGCTGCCAACATGAATGCGGCAATAAATAAGCAAGACGGGCCAGTTTTCAAACTGGGAAAATTACACAGTGAACAAGAACCAATGGGTTCAATGCTCCTTTCTTCCTCCCTTTGCCCCAGTTTTGTCTGCACTGCATGGGAAAAAAAGGAGGCAATTTCTTGCAATTTGGCCCTAAAAATAGTTTTTAATCAAAATTTTGATACTAATCATTGCCAGAAAGGGAGAGCCAGATGTATATATGCTTCTACTGAGTAAGAGAAAATAGTATAGTCTGCTGTAGATAGATACATACACAGATTTGACCAAAATCTAATCCAACACAACAGTATGTGGACTACTGCAACAGGTGCATGCTGGCATAAATTTAAAGTAATATTAGAAGAGGAAAACATAACACACAGACAGACAGACAGACAGAGAGACAGACAGACAGACAGACAGACAGACAGACAGACAGACAGACAGACAGACAGACAGACAGACAGACAGACAGACAGAGATAGATAGATAGATAGATAGATATGGGATGTGGATTCAGAAATATTTGGAATGCATCAAATAATGTCATATCTGGATAGTTCCAAATATATCCCAGTCTAAATGTGGTTGTTCCAAATATCTGCAATAATAATTCCTAATATTTGATGTCCATTTACTCCTATAGATTAGGGTATAAGTGAAAGTGAAACCTATTTCTCAAGTATCCTAGAGTGATTTCTAGACAGATTATACTTAAAGTCACTGTAGCCTGAGGGATAGTGGGGACAGAGAACTCAATGTCTCCTGATTGGGGTTGCCATGGGTTTCACAAAGAAGGGGGGGCTGGTATCAAAGCAAAACCTATAAATGATGTCTTTCTACACCAGTAAAAACTGGAAGCAAGTGCAGATACCAGAATGTATTTTTTTTCACGTTAGTTATTTCCAATTCAAAGTTGAGCATTGCTGCTTATAAATCCCTTAAGCATTTGCTGTTAGGATATGCTCTGGTGCAAGCTTGCACCGCAGCAGTTTTCTCTGTGTCCTTTTCTCAAACCTCAACTTACACTTACATTCTCTATATCTCATTGTATATGGTTTACTTAATATAGTTAAGAAAAATATTTAGGATTAGTAGATGCATAGATTAATATATTATAAACCGACAAGGAAATATTATATTAATTTTAGTCCCCTTTGGAGTATATAATCAGATTCTGTACTTTGAGTAGAGTCTGCAGGCAGTATGAAACATGGGTGTAATAGAAGAGGCAGGCACTTGAGAAGCGGCAGGAATGTTTCCTGTACCCACTGGCTGAGTGCATACATTGCAAGAAGGTGCTCAAACGTGACTAGGACTTGGGCCACCACTCCGACAGTGGCATGCTTAGTCACCTGGATATTCAGCACAGGGCACTGCTGCTGGCGAATGAAGTGGGTACTCTGGGGCCAAGTGTAAAGGGTAGGAGTCATCAGAGGTTGACTTACCAGTCCAGGGAAGTAGGAGGCAGATGGGTAAATAAGAGGTGGGAAGAAGCAAATGCCAGACTCACATTTGTTTGGTTGTTTGTTTATACCGAACCTCCCTTTCTCTTTAAAAGCACTCCTGAGACCATCCACTTATAGCTTCAAAGCCTGTCTGAAGAGGAAGGCCTTTTCCTGACAAGAGAAGGACAAGAGGCAAGTGGCCAACCTAACTTCATGGGGCAGTTTATTCCACAGCCTAGGGGCAGCCACTGAGAAACAATACTCTATGGAATTCAGTTTTTTTCCCTCGGAGTTGCCCGTATGATGATTGGCAATCAGAAATCTGCAAATCATGCAAATCTAAACACATGGTTATGTGGGAGGAGGGAGCCTTTCATCAAGCTAATTTGCTTGTTTGTTTATTTGCATTACTAACCAATTAGGTGGATTTATCTTCCCACAACTCTAAGAGATTCTGCTCCTTCTTCCTCTCTTACTCCTCAACATGTTTTTCTTGCTCTTTGCTTGCAGCCAGCCTGCAGCATGGAGATTCCTCAAGCCATGTTGGGCTGGGAAATCAATCTCTTGCTATTTTAATCTTTTTTCTTCTCATAACTTCTGATCCTCTAATGAAGTTTGCTGAGTCAAATACACTCCATTTTCTACCTAAAGATAGCCTCCTGAGTCTTATTTCTATAAAGTGCTGGCTATGGGAGTAGGGTGGCTCTGTAAAGATAGACTTTTTAGCTAATTCTGACTCTAATGAGCTGGGCTTCTGTTGCACATTTAAAGTGAATCAAGCAAATCAGCACAGCTCTGACCAGTGGTAGCATATTTGTTAGAATATTTTCTAGGATTGTGCCAATTGGACACAGCTGTTCTACAACTGTTTTAGAACAGTTACAGGTGATCAAAAAAGCTGATGGTACTATGAACCAATTCTGCAGCTGAGAATGATGTACAGCTCAAAAAAAGGATCCATAAATTCAACATGAAACATCAGTATCGGATATTGGCCATTCAAAAAAAGGATCCATAAATTCAACATGATTTCTGCTAGTAAAACATCAGTATCGGATATTGGCCATTGTATGTTTACAGTCAAGGAAAACAAAGGCTCACTATCCAAAATTGGAAGAAAACAATATATTCACTGAGATTCTTTTGACTCTTACCTTGAAGACTTTTTTGAACTTCTAATGCAACATCCAGGGCATTAAAGGGCAAAACCGGATTGGTGGCAATTTGCAAAATTGTTTCTCCCGACAGCTAGGAAAAAGTAAAGGAAAAACTATCAAAGAAGATCATATAAATTGTAGCATATTTTAAACTCCAGCAACATGGTTCAGCATGTGTATTTCCAAACACACATGTGATGCACACATGGCATCCCCATTCACTGCAGCTGAGAGAAATCATAGAATCAGAAAAGTGAAGTTGGAAGGGGCCTACAAGGCCATCAAGTCCAATCCCCTGCTCAATGCAGGAATACAATCAAAGCATATCTGCCAGGTGCTTATCTAAGCATTAGTATCACCAAAATTATTCTTAAAAGTGCATTATCAAAATGACTGCTCATATCCATGGCAGCTTCATTTGGACCCCCAAGAAAGCCCTGGATTAGGTGAAGATTCTGCACAGAATATAAACCTTCAGCTTGATCAAATCAAGGTATCTCCATTAACCTCAAACTCAAATATTAAATCAATGTCATGGTCTCTTCCTTCTGCATTATTTTATAACTATTACTTTATTATCGACATTAAGGCTATCAGGTCCTGCCTTTTCTCTGAAATAAAGTTGCACATTACCCAAAAGTATTGTATGACTATCTTTTAATAATGAATACTATCCACCAAATATTAGAAGGAATACTTCAGAACCAAAATATTAAAAAATAGGAAAACAAGCCCTATGAGGAAAGACTGGAATAACTGCGCATGTTTAGCCCTGAGAAAAGATGACCGAGGGGATATAAGATAGAACTTTTCAAAGGTAGAGGAGGGGCAGGATCTGTTCTTGAATTATTCTATGATTAAAATTGCATTGTACCAATCAGCCAACCAAATGTAGTTGATTAATTTATCAATAAACTGATTAAATCACATACAGAGTGATTATTTTTCCCCTCTCCCTCTCCCTCTCCCTTTCTCTCTCTCTCAATGAATGTTAATCTGCTCCTTCAAAAAGATGATGCTCTTAGGGTGACACAGCATTGGTAAAGTCAAACCCATGCAGTTGTATGATATGCCCAATTAGCTGAAACCAAACTGAACTGGCGCAAAGCTGTTGACTGACACAGGCCGTGTGGAACACCTCTCAGCAATTCTAAACAAGCTGTACACAGTACTTCCCTGATCACTGTGAAACTCAAGACCACTGTGTCAATTTATAAAGCCATGTATGGCACTGGACCAAGGTACCTTTGAGAGTATTTACTTCTATATAATATGTTGGCCAAGTGCTATGATCACAGGGAGTGTTCTGCAGTCACCCTCTGTCTATGAAGGGTGGACCCTTCCGGTCTTCTTAGTAATCATTCCTCATATTTCTGAGTCTGTAAGATTCAGGTCCAAAGTAGGTGCTATAGAGGCTAATTACAAGAAAAGGCAATTGTTTAAAAGTTGATCACCTGTAGATTGCACATTAACTTCTTTGTTCTGTGACTGTTCATTGACTTTGGCTTCAATTCCACTCAGATTGCTTAAACCTGATGCTGGTAGAAGATTGCAAACATCAACACGCTTACTTATTTTAATGATCTGCTAAAGTCTTAACTAGATTCTCTGGCATGAGGTAGCTGAAGGGAGATTTCCTTTGCTGCTCAGGCCTTTTAGCTAAATTCATTATTTTGGCTGCTTATTTTGCATTTTTATGCAATACTATTGTATTTTCTCCTACATTAACACATATACAGTGGGGTCTTGACTTAAGAACGGCTTGAGTTAAGAACATTTTGACTTAAGAACCACTCTCATAGGAAAATATTGACTTGACTTACATACTTAGATTTGAGTTAAGAACTGAAAAAAACTTAAGTTCTCAAGTCAAGACCCCACTGTATTTTAATATTCTGCTATTGAATAAACACAAGAACAATAGCAAATGCAGCAGTAGCATTAGGATATCTGAGAATAACAAATTTATTTCAAGGTGAACTTTGATGGATTATAATCCATTTCTTATGACTAAATAAACTCATTTAGTATTTTGGTTTACTCTGTGACTAAAGTTTTTTTGTCTCTGTTTTCTCAGACATCAACAGATGGATGGACAGACAGCTACTTCTTTCAAAAAAAGGAAAACTGCAAGAAGAGTTTCAAAATCTTTTTGGTTTCAGCATCTTTTCAGTTTCAGCTATGATAAAGAAAATGATCAGCAACACTCAGTTTGGAAGGCGGAATAGCAGCTTCCCATTAGTTTCTATGGACGGAAAAGAGCAGATACGGATCAAATGGTTTTCAATGCATTCCTATGGGAAATGCAGATTTGACTTGAGAACTTTTTGACTTGAGAACCGCCTTCCAATACGGATTAAGTTCTCAAGTCAAGACCCCACTGTATTTTAATATTCTGCTATTGAATAAACACAAGAACAATAGCAAATGCAGCAGTAGCATTAGGATATCTGAGAATAACAAATTTATTTCAAGGTGAACTTTGATGATTTATAATCCATTTCTTATGACTAAATACACTCATTTAGTATTTTGGTTTACTGTGACTAAAGTTTTCTTGTCTCTACTGTGACTAAAGTTTTTTTTCTCTGTTTTCTCAGACATCAACAGATGGATGGACAGACAGCTACTTCTTTCGAAAGAAGGAAAACTGCAAGAAGAGTTTCAAATTTTTTTTGGTTTCAGCATCTTTTCAGTTTCAGCTATGATAAAGAAAATGATCAGCAACACTCAGTTTGGTAAATTCATTTGCACGACCTGATGTTAGAAATATAACAATTATCGTGACCTAGAAGGGATGCAGTTGAAACAAAATACAGACAGCAAGATTTTCAGAAGAGGGAAGATTAAAAGAATGCCAGCAGGGCTTCTGAGAAGCCCCCACAGAAATGTGGCGCAAGACACGCCCACAGAACAGAGAAAGAGACAAAGGAAATACTATTGATCAGCTCAAAAACCTACATCCAGGCAAGGGGCAACATTTAAAAGGGTTGGGAGTGAGAACCAAAGGGGGAGAAATAGCACAGAAACAACTGAGAAGAAAGCACTGTCAACTTTTGTGAAGGATGAACAACGGGTGAAGGTAAGCTCTGCAGATGAACAGAATTAACGTTACCTGGAAGGAAATGGAAAACTTTGACAAGCATTTTAAAAGACAAGGCAAAGGTCCCTAAAGTAGCAAGTGTGGCACGACTAGTTCGACTTCTAATCAGTGAAGCACTTTTCACACACATGATCCAAAGGCTGGCCATTCTTCAAACCGTCTCATCCATTCACCCATGTTCACAGGTCATAAAATCATAGAATTAAAGAATAACTGAGTTGGAAGGGGCCTACAAGGCCATCAAGTCCAACTCCCTGCTCAATGCAGGAATCTAAATCAAGACAGATGGTGGTCCAATTTTCTTTTGAATGCCTCCAGTGTTCGAGCACTGACCACCTCCCAAGGTAACTGGTTCCATTGTCATACTACTCTAGGAGTTAGGACATTTTTCTTGATCTTCAACTGAAATCTGGCTTCCAAATCCTGTGAGGGAGACTAGTACCTCAAAAGATTTGGAGAGTACTTCTGTTGATGCAACCTAAAATCACATTTGTCTTTTTTGCAGCCACATCACACTGTTGGCTCGTATCCGGCTTTTGACCTACAGCCATTCCCAGATCCTTCATAGTATTACTTAGCCATCTTGTAACTGTGCATTCATGGGTCAAACAAGTGGATATATAGAAATATGCGATTTATTAGTAACCCATCTTTTTCTCCTTTCAATATATCTTCGTCAACCTATATGTCTACCTATTTGCAATGGCACCTATAGTCTGAAAAGGTAGCACTGATTTAGTCTCCATTTATACCATTAGAAGTCAAAAGAATAAAGGAAACACAGCAGACATCTACACTTAGAACCAAATTGGTTCCCTAATGTCAGCTGGAAAGTGGGCTGATGTAAGCTGAGCTTTTTTTCATTGGGCTCATTTTCCAGTTACCAACTTACTATCTCCTAACAGGTTGGTGTGGGTTTTCCATGCTCTTTGGCCATGTTCTTAAGGTTTTTCTTCCAAATGTTTCACCAGTATCCTGTCCTTCAGAGGACAGGAGTGAGAACAGAGCACAGACAGAGAACCCGCATGGCGAAGATCGGGTATTGCGGCAGCCATTTTGGAGCCGCCGAACAGCTGATCGGCGGTTCCAAAATGGCCGCCGGAAGCCCGGAAATGGCTGCCAGCAGCCGTTTTCGCGCCCTGCCCTCGCTTAGCGAAGGCGCGAAAATGGCTGCCGGCACCTGAAATCCTCGCTGAACGGGTAAGTAACAAAGGTATTGGAACGCATTAAAGTTTAATGCGTTCCAATACATTTCCCCTACCCGTTTAGCGATGATTCCGTATAGCGAGTGTTAATCCAGAACGGATTAACCTCGCTATACGGGGCACCACTGTATCTCCTAACAGTCAATAAGTTCTGACAGACCCTAAGTGTCCATATTTTAGTGGCACAACACACCCTGAAAGCAGAAAGCACCAGCATCTCCAGTTAAACCATCTCAAACTGGCCTGTGGGAATGGGTCCACACCTGAAATTTTGCTACCAATCAGGGTCAATAAAAATACTGAGCAGAACCTATGATCTCATTTACTGATTGCTGGATACTTCTTTCTCTCTCTTATTTATTTATTTGTTTATTTGTTTATTTGTTTTTCTTTCTTTCTTTCTTTCTTTCTTTCTTTCTTTCTTTCTTTCTTTATTTATTTATTTATTTATTTATTTATTTATTTATTTATTTCCCGCCTATCTGGTTTCGCGGCCACTCTAACACACATATGCACATACATAAAGAGTGCCAGTTTGTGTAGGATGCTGTCAGAATATATGAAGTAGTATCGGTGGGAAGTTTAGTTCCCATAAATTCCTTGTCTACTGGAAAGAACCCTTGCCTCCTATCCATCCCTTGAATAAATATGGGAGAAAGTGAGCAAAGGGAAGGGCTAAAGCTAGCTATAGAGGGAGAAAATTAATCTGATAAATATCTATCATTCACTCCAAATCTAGAGAGTGAAGAAAGCCAGGATTTCTTTATCTGTTGCCATCATTAG